TTGAAAGGTTCTAAGGAGAATGAATAGAAATAGTGATAGATCGTGCAAGCAAATAAAGGAGGAGATGTCATAAGGGGTAGCAACTGGTGTGACTTTTAAAAACTATATAATTAGAAACACGGGGATGATAAGGTTTGGTCTTTCAAAGTTTTAAGACAATGAGATAGCTATTTAATAATTTTAAAGTAAAATCATACTTAAAAAAATATATGATTTTGTTTGGGTGCTAGCCGCGCAATTGCGCGGGCCAAGAAAAAAAAGGAAAGGAGAGTCCAAGTAGAAATACAATTTAAAAATAGCTGAAATTCGGAATTAAAATCTTACCCGTTAGATTATAGTGGGGCCGAATTATAATGGTATAGATTAATTGATATAATTGTATACAAGATACAATTATATCTACATAAATTGAAGTTAAGAGTTGTATGTCTATTAAAACTAAAAGTTGTATAAAATCCAAATACACTTCTACGTATAAGGTTCCTATAAAAATAAAATTTTTCAGAGGCATGCAGCCTTGCGGAATTGAAATCAAACATGATATAGGATCTATACCTATGTAACGGACTCAATATGAATTATTGTCTGATTTCTGTTAGCCAAAAGAAGTTCCGTATGAATTAGATTATACATATGTACTTCTATAAATTAAGCACGTATCACAATAATATTCAGGCTTTGATATGGATGGAAACAGATCAACAAATATTAGGGGGACGAAAGCTGCAGCAGCAGGTTAAGCAACGTTAAAAAAAGATTTCCGTAAAAAAAGGAAAAATAGATTTCTGTATGGAAAAAAACAAGCGCTAAAATTTTAAGAATTGCTAACTAGCAGCCTCCGATAAAAAAAAAGTGCGAAAAACGGGTTTCCGCCTTCCGTAAAAAAAGGAAAAAAATAGTGCAAACAAAATGTCCGATTCTAAACAAAAAAATCCCATCCTCCGAGCCCCCCCAAAAAACAAGCGTGAAATTTTTTTTCTATCCGATTTAAAAAAAGTGCGTTCCCATTTTCCTTAAAAAGGAAAAAAAATAGTGAGAAAAAAAGATTTCTGTCCGATTCTTAAAAAAAATTAGTACGTATAAACCGGTCCTCCCGAAAAACCTCCGTGCCCGAAAAGAAAACAAGCGCGAACTAAGGTTCCCGTTTTCCTTAAAAAAAAGAAAAAAAATAGTGAGAAAAAAGGTTAATGGAAGAAAAAGTTTTCGTGAACCGTTCAAAAAAAAAATCTGATTCCATAAAAACCGATGCTTTTCCAAAAATTCCTCCAAAAAAAGAGGTTGATGGGAAAAAACAAAGAGTCCATAAAAAAAATCCAATACGAGATTAGTAAAAGTTAGGAATAAAAAAAATCAAAATTAGGAAAAAAAAGAAAGGACAAGAAGAGTTAAAGTAGAATACAATTTAAAATTAAATATAATCAGTATTGAAATAAGAGTAAATATCAGAACCCAATAGTAGATGAATTAAATTCGGAATAAAAAATAAAATAAAATCTAAAATCAGGCAAATGAAAAAGAGAGTTAAAGTAGGAATACAATTTTGAAACAGCTGATGAAAATAAAAAATAAAAGTAACAAAAGAACACAATAAGAAAAATAAAATAAATTCTGAAATTGGTGATAAAAAAGTAAAGACCATTGAAAGAAAATACCATCTAAAACACATGACGAGATTAATTAAGTAACAGGGCTATAGAGGAACAGAGTGGTGGCGGTTGATGAGACATCTAAAAACTATTAATAAACCACCAAATAAAATCCTAATGACGATTAAAAGGAAGGACGACGAGCATGTCGTGAAGTAATCGGTCAAGGCGGTTGGCGAGACTTCTAGAAAGTAAAAAAATAAACCCCAATGAAAATCATATTTTATTTTTAAAATCTCAATTACAAAAAAAAAATGAGAGGCAGCGGGCGGGTCGTATAGGAGTACAATGGCAGCGCCGCTGATGGTTGGTGGGTCTTCTAGAAAGTAAAAAAATGAATTCCAATGATAGTTATGTTCGATTTTACAATCCCAATGAGAATAAAGAGTATGCGGCGGACGGGTCATAGAGGAGTATAGTGGCACCGTTTGATGGGATTTCTATAAATTATAAGAAAAAATGAAACCCAACGAGACAATAAACTCTAAAAAGTATAAGGTCTAATTTTTAAAGGTTTGGGCTTCTAAAAAGTAAAAAAATAAACCCCAATGATAATCATGTTTGATTTTAAAATCTCAATGACAATAAAGAAGGGCGGCAGCGGGCGAGCCGCAGAGGAGTATAGTGACAAAGTTGCTGACGTTTTGGCGGAATTCTAGAATGTAAAAAAAAAAACCTAAACGATAATTATGTTCGATTTTTAAAATAATACTCCCTCCATCCCATTTTAAATGCAGCCATAGTTTTTCGCACCTAATTTTGACCGTCTATCTTATTTGACAATTTTTTTTAAAAAAATTAAAAACATTAGTCATGAGTAAAGTACTATTCATGTTTTATCATCTCATAACAACAAAAATACTAATTATAAAAAATTCAAATAAGACGGACGATCAAAGTTGGGCGTGAAAACTTATGGTTGCAACTAAAATAGGACGGAGGGAGTAATGATAATAAAGAGAAGATGTAGTGGACGGTCATTGAGGAGTATAATGGAAGCGTTTGACGGGACTTCTAAAAATTACAAAAAAGAAGCCCAACTGGACAATAAACTCTAAAAACTATAACTTTTTAATCCAATTTTTAAAGGTTTCAAGGAGAATAAATAGAAACAATGGTGGATCGAGCAAGCTAATAAAGAATAATATGACAGAAGTAAACGGTAGCAACTGGTGTGACTTTTAAAAGCTATAAAATTATAAACACGAGGATGATAAGGTTTGTTCTTCTAAAATCTTAAGACAACGAGATAACTATTTAAGAAATTTTAAGTAAAATCATGTTAAAAAAATATAATTTTATATGGGTGCTAGCCTGATGCACCCTGAGTTCCTCTCGACACTCAAGGCTATTCTTGGCCCGATCTTTCGGTGAGTTGATGATAACTACGATTTGGAAGAAACGTTGACGACCCGACTACAACCGTACAAGACGTTGCGTTGCGCCTTAGCGATCGATACACCTCTCCGTGGGTTGTTGATCTTGCCGGTGCAAATCAACCTTATTCTTGCAAGCAAATCGAAGAAACAAGTAAGAACAAGATAAAAGCAATCTGAATTGCAAATAGGAGTTAAATACGAATGATAAGTTGGGGTTCCGAAGAACAAGCAGACGGACGGTCTAGCCGACACGCGCGCTGCAAGCAAGTAGCAATGGCTAAACTTTAATCTATCAAAACCCAAGAAACCCTGAAGGGGTACCTAACTATTTATAGAGGTGGGAGGATGACCAAGAGGGTCCAAGAGTCATGCTCCACCAGATTGGGGCGCACCCCACATGGGCCCCACATGGGCCAGGGTCCCAAACAAAGTTACAAGCCCATTGGCCCAATACAGGTAACGCATCACCTTGCTTCTGTGATTGCGGCCAAACGAGATAGAATTCCGAGATGAGGCTTGATCCGTTGGAAGGAGGACTTCGAGAGCTTTCCATCAAGTACTCACGGGCTCAAAACGGAGCACGTATGTAGATTTGGCGGCCGTTTGAATTCAGCAATGTAACACGTGGCCGAATCAGATTGCAGCACATGGAGGACTTGATCTTGATGTCTTCTTGTTGATTCATGATGTGAGCAATGGTCGTATCCATAGTAGCCATGGTCACATCATAGCCGCGCAATTGCGCGGGCCACCCAGCTAGTTAACTTATTAAAGGACTAGAAAAAGGAGCCTCCAAGTTCACTCTCACGGCCTAGAAATTCTTATATTAATCGGAGAAAAAGAAAAACAGAGTCCATATAAAAATACAATTTAGAAATAGTTGAAATTCGGATTAAAAAATAAGGAATATTGAAAGAGGAGAGTAGAGTCCAAATAGAAATACAATTAAGAAATAATAGAAATTCGGAATTAAAAATAAGGAATATTAGAAGTAGAGTATAGAGTCCATATAGAAATACAATTAAGAAATAATAGAAATTCGGAATTAAAAATAAGAAATATTATAAGTAGAGTATAGAGTCCGTATAGGAATTTAAAACTAACTAAAATTCGGAATAAACATAATAAAATTAAAAGTAGAGTTTAGAGTTTGTATAAAATACAATTTACAAATAACTAAAATTCGAAATAAAAAAACATGGGAAGAAGAGTCTAATGTCAATATATGAATACAATTTAGAAGTAACTGAAATTCGAAATTAAAAATTAAAGAATATTGAAAGATGAGTTTAGAGTCCACATAGAAATACAACTAGAAATAGCAAAAATTCAGAATTAAAAAAAATAATATTAGAAGAAGAGCCTAGAGTCTATATAGAAATACAATTTATAGATAACGAAAATTCGGAATTAAAAAAAAAGAAAAATTGAAAGACGAGTCTAGAGTTCATATAGGAATATAATTCACAAATAACTAAAATTTGATATTAAAAATAATTAATAACTAACACATAAATAAAATACAATTTGAATATTACACCTAAGTAGTTTCATAAAGTTAGTACAAAATTTAAAATCATGTTATGATTTTAATATATTTGAATAATACATTGAGAAAACATATATACTATTATATGAGAGAACCTATAATGATGCTAGCCGCGCAATATGCGCGGGCCACCATGCTAGTTACAGTTAATTAGGATTAATCAGAAGCCTAATGAAATACTCCCAAGTTAATCAAGAGAGAAACAATTACAGTTAATTAGGGTTAATCAGAAGCCTAATGAAATACTCCCAAGTTAATCAACAGATCCAAGGAGGACAGTTAGTTGGCACGAACATTCCATTTCAGTGGGCCCAGTGGTAGCCCATCAATGTCATGGGCCTTCGAGAAGCACTTTTCGGCCCACACTGAGACAGCTGGCACCGACCCCCTACTTCCGCTAGGTCTCTTCGTCTCCACTCCACTTCTCCGCCTTCTCGTCGGCGTCCGATCCCAAAACCCTCGCCGGCGGCATGGGCGACATCGTCCGGCAAATCCTGGGGTGGTTCCCCGGCCATCCCGCCTCCGGAAACGGCGCCACGCTTTCCGCCGCCGAGGGCTACGGCAGCGAGGACCGCGTCAGCGCGCTCCCCGACGACCTTCTCCGCAACATCGTCGCCCGCCTCCCCGTCAAGGACGCGGCTCGCACCGCGGCGCTCGCCTCCCGCTGGCGGCGCGTCTGGAGCTCCACGCCGCTCGTCCTCCGCGACGCCGATCTCCTCTTCTCCGCCGGCGAGGCCGCGGGCGTCGCGGCCGTCGGCCGCGCCCTCGCCGGTCACCCGGGCCCCTTCCGCGTCGTCCACATCGAGCACTGCATGTTCGCGTTCCACCGTCCCGAGCTCGCCGAGTGGGCGCGCCTCGTCGCCGCCAAGGGCGTGGAGGACCTCGTCTTCGTCAACATTCCCGTCCACTACTTCGATGTGCCCCTCCCCGCCGACATCCTCCGCTGCGCCGCTCTCCGCCGCCTCTTCATCGGCAACTGGAATTTCCCGGCCACCTCTGGCTTCCCCCGCGGCGCCGACGTCTTCCCCCACCTCCTGGAGCTCTACATTTGGAACACCGTCATGAGCGCCAGGGACCTCAACCATCTGCTCGCCTGCAGCCCAGTGCTGCAGAGCCTCGCGCTCGCCCTCAACAGCCATCCCAACCGCGTCCGCCTCTGCAGCCAGAGCCTCCAATGCGTGCTTCTTTTCTTGTCTAAGGCGGAGGAGGTCGCCGTGGTGGATGCCCCACTGCTGCAGCGCCTCGTTCTGTGGAAAATATCAACTTCTTATGATACAGATGATGAGTTGCCAGTAAAGATTAGGCTTGCTTGTGCACCGGAGCTACAGGTCCTGGGCTATCTGGAGCCAAGAGCTCACCAGCTGCAGATTGGCGAAACCATCATCAAGGTATACTACATCCTGTTACGCTGACAATGGATCCACATGTCTGGCTGATGCATGGATCTTTTGTATGGCCATAGAACAACTTTGCACTCATTTGTCAATGGTTTGTGATTCTCTCTTGCAGGCTGACACAAAGGTGATTCCAAGCTCCATGGTTCCGAGTATCAAGGTATTGGCCTTGAGGGTGAATTTTTGTGTGCAAGAGGAGATCGCTATGCTGGTCAGCTTCCTCAGATGCTTTCCCAATGTTGAAACACTGCACATCGAGGTGACTCCGCACACACTCATTCAGTTGGGATATTCGCATTCAGAACATCGATCACTAGCTACAATTGTAATTAATGCCACCTTCATGATCCATATGTAATCGGATTGTTCACTGGTTTTGCAGTCTGATATAGATGATGAGTTCACTGGCCAGCCCCATGCCAAGTTCTGGCAGGAGGTCTGTCCTGTTGAATGTATCAATTCACACGTCAAGAAGATTGTCTTTCATGATTTTCATGGGGACAAATGCGAGCTTGAATTCATCGATTTCATCGCCAGGACAGCACAGGAGCTTCAGGCTTTACTGCTTATGTTGACCAGTAAAACGTATGGTCCTGTTGTTGATGTGGATGAAGTGAACAGCCAATTGGGCGTCCTGTCATTTGCATCTGAAGAGTGCATAACGTCGCTGCTTGGGCCTAAAGTGCAGATGGTTCACATATTCCACAGATCATTGGATCTTTCTGTGGATGACCCTTTCCTCTGATGAACTTGAATGCGCTAGCTGGATAAATATTCCTTGATCTTTGCCTTATTATGGGAAACAGTTACCCTTATGTTGCAGTGTTGCCTAGTTAGGCACTCTCTTGTTGTTAATGTGCTTCCTCTGAGATAGGGCTAGTAGTTTCAATATTACTAAGTGGCTGTAAGCGTTTAAATTTGTAGTACTATGGTTTACTGCAAGGACCACTGTCCCATAATATCTCTATGGCAATAGTACTACGTACTTACATCTATATGCAGTTCATGTGACTTTCCGTTTCTAGCTGTGGCCTGATGCTGTTTGAGGTAATGGAGAACTGGTGACAGCTGAGATAATCTAATGATTGCTATCTTATCGTTTCCATGAGATAACACGCATAGGTAAGCAGGTTACAGACTCACTGGTCTTGCTGATTGTGTCTGCTGTACATTATCTGGTTCATGCATTGTCACACTGATAATCTCAGTCTGATTTCTTTTTCTGCAGGTGCATTGATCTTTTTCTTTGGCATACTTATGCAAAGCTGTGTTGATCAGCTTGCCTACGCATTTTGGTCTTTTTGATGTTAATTTCATGTTACGTTTTGTTATTATGTTATGGCAGTAAGGAAAAACAGTGCCTCTTTCCAAGTTACTGTCACTCTGATAATCTGAGTATGATTTCTTCTATTCTACTGCATATACTGTATAGTAATATTGGAAACTATTATGATCCCTCGAGGGGATGTCCTACCGTTTGCTTAAAAACCAAAAACTGAAAAAAATGACAACACTCATACAACGTATCTATACAACTCTATAATATCTATACAGGTCTTGTTGCAGCTTGCTAGGTGTTGGTTAGATGCCTGGGTGCTTCTCTAGCTTATAGTGTTTGCTTTGTTGCTGGTGTGTTTGGGTGGTCGTTGCGTGGCAACTGAACCTGTATGTCTCGCAAGCTGGCGTCCCCAGCGGCTGTGAAACTCTTTCAAGCTTTCAGCAAAGCCGTAGTTAGGCCTTTTCCTCCAAAACCTCAATGCCGCCTGTGTTTCATCATCAAGTGGTTTCTGTATTCTAATCGATTGTGCAGATACCTGCTAGTCAGGTACTGTATGGTTCACGCTGTCACTCTGATAATCTGAGCCTGATTTCTTCCACTGAATGTGCATTGTTCCTTTTTTTTCGCATACTTATGCAAAGCTGTACTTTTGTCCAACCGCTCTTTATTTTCACAGTATTTTTGACTGCTTTCATCAAGTGCAGAGGTTGGAGATGTATTACTCATTTTCCATTATCTAAAAAAAAGGTAGCTGTGGCTGGACCCATACTCTGAATATTGTACAAATAGAACTTAACTGCAACTTCTCGTTGACATATATAATTTATGACAAGTATATATAATTTTGCAGCACATATATTTGAGAGGTAGAAATGTTAGTTCAATTGTCCAGTAATACACAGCTAAACGGGACATCTTCCCAGAATAATTTTTTGATAGAACGATAACAAACTTCACACTGTCTAGGTGCCAGTTGGTTTGCGAAAAAAAAAATAAAAGATAGAACAATAACCAGTTGCACAAATCATAGGGTCATATGAACATGAAGGCGCCTCAAATTATGTAATTAAAGGGGCCATAACGAGCTGAATCAGATGGTGTCTCCTATAGTTCCATTTGTCGCAGTCATGGGAATACATCCAACTTTTCTGTATCACTAGCTACTACTGACCTCAGAAGTAGTTTCAATCCTCAGACTTCTGTTTCTCATCTAGCGTATCAAACCAAAAAGAAGAAATCAACCATGAAAAATAAGCATATCCTTAAGGAATACAGCTGTTGTATGTTCTGTCTTAAGACAGGGGGTGGGAATGTTGGCTTCTCGCTTGGAGACTTGGGCTTCCATCGTTTGGCTTGTTGATGGAATAAGCTAAACGGCATATTTGCAAACGAAAAATAATTTCTGAATAAAACTTTTATATACATGATCTTAGCGATTTAAAAGCAAAAGCTAAAAAAAATAAATTTCGATGAAAAAACCTCAAAATTAACTCCAAATTTAAAGTTGAAAATTTAAATTTTGGCTGATAAGTATAAGCATAAGCGAAAAGATGAAGATGTTCCTCGGTGATACTACTCTCCTGGAAGTGTTCGCCAGAGTCTTCTCGATCAGGTAACATGTAGACCTCTTTACCTTTCCGATTTTAGTTCAACCATGTTGTATGTGTTTGCGGGTTACTCATCTTTTTATATGAAGTAGTCACATGCTTTCATAATTAGATTGTTTTATTCAATTAGCGCTTGAGTGAAGTATATAATTTTCTGTGCATGAGGAAATTGTTTGCATAGGCTGGCATCTTAATATTTTTGCATGTGAAAATATAACCATTTTCATAAGCAGTTCCTAGGATAGCCGCTTGTGAAAAACACATTCTCACAGGCAGCCGTATATGACTCTCCATGAAAATTGATGTATTTATTGGAACTTTTGTTCCGGGCCTGGAAACATTTATTTCCATTAAGCACACAAACACATATATTTGTGGAACCAACACCTATTCCTACCCCACCACTGTATCATCCACGCTTATAATGCATCCTAAGTGAGAAAAATAGTGGAACTGGAGCAACATTTAGATGGTTTTTGTTGACTTAATTCTTGAAACTAAGCTTGGAAGACCTCACAACTACTTTTCCTTTAAACACATGTTTAAATCATTGTATGTACTCTAAATAAATAAGACACGCTACACATTGAAGTTTAAACTGAGGTGGGTGGGAACATACACCCTTCATCCCGCAACACCATCATTGATGAAATAATGATGGGTGTTAGTAACATTTTCCATCCAGCATATGTGTGATTAAACAGGGAACCTTTAATGGCATAGTTAGAGGGTTTTGCCATTTACAATATATAGTAAGAGGTCTTGACATTTAATTCCCTGAACATTCCATTTCAATTCAACCTTTTCACCCTTTATTAACAGAAAGAGCCCTGAGGTCTAAACCACAAAATTACCTACAAATTCCGTCCATACCAATCACTCTTAGGGGTTTTTGACATTTAATTCCTTGAACACTAAAGCAATACTCAGAAGTTTCTTTTCATTTAATTAGCTGAAACAAATCTTCAACAAAAATAAATTAGGTTTAGTTATTTGTTATTTACTTAATCATTATTGATATATGTGGAGTGTGTAATTGCAATTCTTTTTTTTCCTTTTTCTTGTTTTGAGCCCAAAGGCATATATAACAAATAGACTCAAGATTTCAAGTTACACCGAAATAAAAAAAAACAAAAACTCTTCTGATGAACATTAAAAAATTTATGTTTCAGCAATATTTTTCATGTCAACTAATCAATTTTGATATTAAATCTCATAAAAGGTCTGGAGATAGATCCATGATAATAGAGTTTCGAGAGCATCCAGGCTACACAAATCACATAATATAGAGTAACACATAATATAAAGATCAGTTCATGCAGCAACATAAATGGATCAGGTATATAAAATACAATACTAATGTCTAATGTTAAAGTAGAGATAGTATGCATGAATAAACATCACGAATAGACTCTTGACGTTCGGAAATAGCTTCAAAAAGGACATAAGCCTATTCTCTTGATCTTTTGATCCAAATGTTAGTTTTATAGCCAGGGCTTCGACACTAGGAACTGCTAGAGACAGGTTGATCAGGATGCTCTTGTTTGTTCCCTCAGTAGCGTAAGTGCATATAAATTTATAGTTTAATTAGTTTAGATTTTTTAGTGTAAATGATACAGTCTTTTGGAGGGATTAGGCTGCATTAATGAACATATTGTTGACATGTTGAGTTTTCTGGTCTTCTGTTTGCATGGGAGTAAAACTAAGGATGACAAACTTACACATGTTTACACCACAAAAACACAAACACAAGCGAGCGAGTGTGCACCGATTAAACAGTCCAGATTAAAAAAGGTACTTTCCAGACCAATGCATCTATGTACTCCCAATGAATATATACTTAGGATTAAATGACTTGAAAAATACCCTTTCCACACTACAGAATTGAGCGGGAGTGCGAACTACGTCACTAAAAAATGGAACACTCCAAACCCCGAAACTTTATTTTATTAGAAACTCTCATGTGGGCATTTACTCCAAATAAATGTGTGCGAAGCAAACACCCTTCACTGGTAGAGAAAGGGGCTTTACTCCCGGTTAGAAACCCCCCTATAGTCCCGGTTATACAACCGGGAGTACGAATTCGGGACTAAAAATACCCATCTTTAGTCCCGGGTGAAATAACCGGGACTAAAAATCCATCTTTATTCCCGGTTGGTATTACCAACCGGGACTAAAAATGGTGGAGCAGTCCTGGTTGATTCTTTTTTTTTTTGTTGTTGTTTCATTGCTCAATCGATTTGCTCCCTAAATATCCCAAATCATCCACAAGCATCACAGATTTGGGAAGAAATACATCACATATTGCAAAGAAATGCATCACAGATCACAAATACATCACATCACCAAATCTCAAACGAAAAATACATCACAAATCCTAAAAGAAATGCATCACAACTCAAATACATCCCAGATCAGATCCAATATCACATACATCACAGATCAAATCCAATGAAACACAAAATCAAAAAAAAAAAAATCGGCATCAGATGGGAGGGCGCCGCCGGCCTCCCGGTCCCCGTCCTCTCGGCGTCTGCGCCAGCTCGGCCGCCACGCCCGCCCGCCGCCGCGGCTCCTGCCGGGCGCCGCTGCTACCGCCCGGCTTGCCGCCACCCCCGCCCGCCCGGCCGCCGCCACGGCTCCCGCCCGGCTTGCCGCCGCGCCGCGCCGCCACCGCCTCTCGCCGCCGCCACCGCCGCGCCCGGCCACCACCGCCTTGCCACGCGCCGCGCCACCCTTGCGCCGGCCGCCAGGCCACAGCCGCAGGCCGCCGGCGGCCACCGTCTCACCGCGCGCCGCGCCGGCGGCCGCCGCATCGCTGCGCGCCGCGCCGCCCTCCGCGCTTCGCCACCCTCGCGCCGGCCGCGAGGCCGCCGGCGGCCGCCGCCGCGTCGGCCGGCCTGGCCTCCGCGCCCCGCCGCTTCGCGCCGGCCTGGCACCCTCGCCGCACCGCTGCAGTGTAGAGAGGAGAAGGAGAGGAATAGATAAGGTTGAGGAGAGAGTTAAAAGGAGAGGAGGAGATAAGGTTGAGGAGAGGAGGAGGGAGGAGTTAAAAGGAGAGGAGGAGATATCGTGCAGGCCTCTCCGATCTCCGCGTCGATCTTTTTTCCCGGTTGGTGTTACCAACCGGGACTATAA